AGAGTTGCTCTGCCCCGGGCTTCCTGGAATCAGCTGCTGATCAGTTTCAGCAGCAGCTGACTTGGGGACGCTTGGGGTTCTTAAGTTGATTCTGTATGTAAGTCAGAACTGGCAGTCAGTTTCAGCTGCGGCTGAATCTGGACGCCAGTTCCGACTTACATACAGATTCAACTTAAGAACAAACCTACAGTTCCTATCTTGTACTTAACCCGGGGACTGCCTGTATATACATTTCAGTATATATAATATATAGAGAAGCATAAAGAGTTATTGTATGAACTTTTATTTTGTACTGTCTTCACCAGTGCTTTTTTGTGCAGCCCGTTGTGAATATAGTCAAATATCTAAATGAGTTGATGAACCCCCCAGAAAGATTACTGCATATTCCAGGGATACTGGTACTCAAACTTTTGTTGAGAAACACCGGTATAGGACATTGCAGGCATTCTCTTGAAATGAAACAAACTTGTGTAACTTTCCAAAGCCCATTGAAGTCAGTGGGATTTTTTTCCCAGTAACTTCAGTGACCTTTAGATTGAGTTCTGTGATCCTAAAAAAAGAAAGTGACTTCTCCATTTGACAGCACTGTGTTCCTAAGTTTGTTTAATATCAACATTAAAATGGTGCTTTTGTGTGCTTTCACTGTGATTTTAGCAAAATTGCATACTTTGTCTGCTGATGTGGAGCAATAGAACTCAAAGTGTTTTTGTGCAATTCCTGCATAAACAATGGATATCGATTGGTTTCATTTAAGGTTTTTTCTTACAATGCCTATAGTGAATATAGTGTGCCAAAAGATGGAAGCAAGTGTGGAAAGTTTGTTTGTTTTTTCTTGTTTGTTTTTTCTTGCAAGAGCTTTGATTGCAAAACTAAACGCTTTTCAAACTTTAAATGCAGTGAATCATTGACTGGGTAACTTGGGTCACAGCGGGTGATGGAAAAGATATTTTTCCATTAACCTGTTCAAGATACAGTTCATTTATTTTTCATTGGTTGTCCACAGGAGACCTATTATTGTTATAAACCTGCCACTCTTCTAAATGATTTTCCAGGAGCATATGACAACTAACTGATAAAAGAAGCCCCAAACTAGTTGTAATAGTTTTTTGTTTACTTGCCAACATGGTCCCATTTAGAAGTAAGAAAAGTTAAGCAGAATAACTCTTGTGAAAATTGTTTTATTTTGTATATTTAATAAATATTAGACATATTTTACTAGAATTAGTTTTTTGTTTTAATTTTGCAGATCCAAGGAGGTGACCCTACTGGAACTGGAACAGGTAAAAGAGAGAGAGAATGTTTGTGTATAAAAATATAGCATATATGGATACTAATACATTTACTAACCACATTTCTTCTCTTATTGCCCAGTATTTTTTATTGCAATTCATCAATTGTGTCCAGCTTTGTAGAATGAAACTCAAGAGATGATGAGCATATGGTAAATGTAGAATATATCTGTTTCAAAACTGTGTGTGCAATACTATACTTAAAATGTTCCATTAAGGTATTTCTATATTGTCCAACTTAAAACTTCTTCAACCTTTTGAAATGAAACTTTTAATCTTTCTGTTTTTCAAAAAAGTTTTCAATGATGTGACAACCAGTCTCCAAGATGTCATGGGAATTAATGTTGTATCATGCTTGAAAATGCAAAGTTCTGTATACAGACAGCTCTGACTAGCTGGTTTGTATGGAGAGAGAATTTCTTAGAATCTATTGTTCACAGTTCTGTCTGCTGAGATGTGTTATAAAAAGAAGAAAATACTGTGCTTTAAAGCAACATTTTTTGTACTATATATTAACAAAATGTTTAGGGACCTGTTGAGGTCTAGTTAGTGGCCAAATACTGTCCATTTTCCCAAAAATAGTCCCTTTGTTAGGCCTATGCTTCTTTCTTTTTTGTTTTAACTTCCAGGGATCATTTTGTCACTACTTTTTCCTTCCTGTTCCTTCCTAGCCTTTGTGATCTAGATACAATAGCAACAGCCACTGTCACAATGCAAACTATAGCAATATATTAGAGCAGCTCCTGCTACTGCAGTAAAGGCTCCTCAGGACATTGACCATCCTGTTTTATATAAGATTACCTGCTGCTGTATATGGGCTCTCAGTACACCTATGCAAGTTAGTTTTGCCTGTTAACTATCAATGTCAGCCAGTTTCCACAGCTGCTTTTCAGACAGGCCCCAGGA